ACAGCCCTTACATAAAAAAAAAGATTAAAAAAAATAAAAAAAAAATTAAAATCAAACAATTTTTTTGGTCTCCTGCGCGCAGGATAGTCCTGCGCGTGGCGTGCAGGATAGTCCTGCGCGTGGGACCAAATTTTTTCTTTTCATATCTTGATTACTTTAGATATTATTTGGAGTATTTTAGGAAGTTTCAATTTTTTAAAAAAGTTTGAAAATATGGCTTTATTTTTAGGTTATTCATGCGTGTATCCTCCTCCACAGACGCGCTGAATAAAGTCAAAACTGCTTCTGCCCCCAGTTATTGTCCGAACTCCGATTCTTCAATAATCAGGTACACGTTCTCTCAACGCCAAACCTCCAATTTTCTCTACTGTCTCCTCCCAACTCTCTTATCTGTATCTCTCTTGTATATATGTACTCGCACATCTATGTTTATATTTATGCATATCGGTATAGTTTGAATTGGAAAAGGGTTGCCACTTCCTATGATCGTATGTTTTTATACATGTTTGATTTGTCTCATTTTTACTTCACCAAAGCAGATCTAGACTTAAAGGTTTCTCTACAAATGGTTTACTGTGTTTTGTGATGTGGTATAGGTAATCAGTACTGGTGAAACGGTTACGCGAAATTCTGGATTTATTTAGTGTAGTCTGTGTAGTAAATATCTTTGATTGTGCTTTTTTGCTTAGTTCATAGAAGTTTAGCTGATGGGTTTTTGGCACAAGCTAATTTTTTTTAGATAATTTTTAGTGGTAATCTCGGTGGTAATTGGTTTCTTGATTTTGATTCAAAATTTTGGTTGAAGGAGGTGATGGGTTTTCATGAGCAACTTCTTTACTTGGTGTGGGTAACAATTATTGTACGCATATTTTTGAGTGGGATGGTTCATTACTTACCCATAAAATGTGAAGAAAAGAGAAGAAAAAATTCAAGATAAATGGCCGAATTTGTGTAGTTGTAATTTGATGAGGGATAAATTTTATGGCATATTGTGAGGGAAGACCAGATATGGACGATGAATTAAGAATTTCTGTTCTCCAAATTGATACCTTTCAGTAATTATATTGTGACTATTTCCAAAAAGTTCAATACCAAATTTTAAGTACTATTCCAAATTTAACCCCGAGGACAACAGAAATAAATAGGAATAAAGAAGTATGTTCTAAGACTTTTGATCAGTATGGGGAACTGCCACTGATAGTCATTTTGTACTGTTGGTTTCCATTCTAATCAGTTAACACATGGTTAAGTACAGTGTTCGAAAAGGCGCCAAAATGCGCCGCCTAGGCGCGAAGCGGGGACCAAACGCGTCGAATTGGTGCAATGCTCGGAAAATGCGTTTTTGACATTTTTTGTTGGAAAATTCGCGCGCCTAGGCTCGCATTTGCGCGCATTAGCCCGCATTAGCACTA